CAACACACACAATTCTTGGCTGTGTAATTCAAGTTTCCTAAATAGTGTTAAAGATAGGTCTCAGCGTTAAAAGTATCACAGCACACTTTGAGTGGCACAACAATCACGAGCGTGAAAAAGTTTTTTGCTCTTTGTTTGATCCCTTAACAAGTTTTACAACCTAAATATTGATTCAACTGAGGATGAATAAATAAATAGACTCTGTTCTCTATTTTAGCACACCTCCCCAGTTCAAACATGATCTCATTACCTCTCCACCATGTGCCTTCCAATCAATTCATTAAAGCAAAACAAGATTATGCAACAAAGTTCTTCAAAACTTTCAGGGAGGCTGAGACAGACAGTCACACATCATTAAACCAGCAAGCAGCGTGCAAATGCCCATCAGGTGGGCAATAAACAAACTCATCAGGTAAATGGCTCTGCGTCCCGTGTGCCGGCATACAGTAACATCCGGGTACCCATGGGACACAGGCAGCTTTAGATCTGACCCTCAAAGGCTCACTGCAGCCTCTGGTCACAACAAACATTAGCAAACAAACAATTAGTTCTTCAAATCACAAGTTAACCTCTCAGTCATTGCCCACAGACCAAACACCACATGCAAGACATCGTCTGACCCACTTTCTTGGATCTTGGGCAAAACCGAGACAGCGTGATTTTTTAACAGAAAACATGAACTCTTTTCCAACAGGATACCAACTGCACAGTGGTCTCTAAAGTGTACAGATCTACTCCTATCCATTGCTCACCGCTCTCACTGGCTCTCAATCAAGACCTGTACCAAGGCTGTTATTTCAGGGCTGATCAACTTACTCAGCCAACATACATATCCACCCCAATCAGATTTATTTATGATCAGCCCACCCTGCTACGCCCAGTCATTCTGTATTCACTGTGCTATTCTCCACAAACTAAAATTGAGCTTACAATAGAGGCAATCAACAACAGCAACAAAATTATATTTGTATAGCACCTTTCACGTCAGGAGGACGTCCCAAGGTGCTAGACAGTCAGTGTTTCGGACCCGAGCTGGGGGTCGGGATTGGGCGGGGTGGGAAGGAGGGTGATTGAAGGCACGGTCGAAGAGGAGGGTCTTGAAGGAGGTAAATTATATATAATAAGATTGTTTGCACCAAAATTACACTAAATTTCCCACCTCTCGTTGCACAGTTTTGTATCATTGGATTGTATTACACATCCCAAACCCCAACGATCTACAATAGTCTTAGAATGACTTGCACATCCCAAACCCCAGTCACTACACACGTATATATCAGTGACTTATACATCACAAACCCAAATCGCTCCAATATTCCAAGAGTGTGGAGTACCTACATATACCCAAACCTATCACTTTGATACTCCCAAATTGACATACACATCACTCCAATACTCCAAGAGTGCGATGCACACGTCAAAAACCCCAGTCACTGCACACAAGTGACTTACACATCGCAACCATGGTCACTCTAACCCCACCCCCAAAGAGTGACTTCTCACCCCAGAGTATGTATGTATGTATGTATGTATGGGGGGGGATAGGTGTAATGAGAAGCCCCTCATTCTCCAACCCCAGGGGTGATAGGTGAAGAGCTCCTCCCCCTCTCCAGGTCTGTTGGGGTGTGTGTATATAATAATAATCCTTGCATTTGATACAGGGACTCACCACGTCTTTGAGATGTCTCAAAGCGCTTCACAGGATACACTGTAAAATGTAGATGAGTGTATGTTTTGTGGGCGAAACGCTGTGTGGTTGGGGGATGTGTGTGGTGGTTGGAGGGATATGTGTGTGGGGTGCGTGTGTGGGGGTGTGTGGGGGTGTGTGTGTGTGGGGTGGGTGGGTGTGTGTGGCAGTGTGTGTGGTGTGTGTGTGTGGGTGGGTGTGTGTGGGGGGTGTGTGTGGGGTGTGTGTGGGTGTGTGTGTGTATGGGGGTGTGTGTGTGGGGGTGTGTGGGGGTGTGTGTGTGGGGGTATGTGTGTGGGTGGGTGGGTGTGTGTGGGGGGTGTGGGGGCTGTGTGTGTGTGGGGGGTGTGTGTGTGGGGTGTGGGAGTGTGTGTGTGTGGGGGTGTGTGTGCGTGGGGGTGTGTGTGGGTGTGTGTGTGTAGGGTGTGTGTGTGTGAGGATGTGTGTGGGGGTGTGTGTGTGGGGGTGTGTGTGGGGGGGGGGTGTGCGTGTGTGTGGGTGTGCGTGTGTGTGGGGGTGGGGTGTGAGTGTGTGTGGGGGTGGGGGGGTGTGGGTGTGTGGGGGTGTGGGGGGGGGTGTGTGTGTAGGGTGTGTGTGTGAGGGTGTGTGTGGGGGTGTGTGTGGGGGTGTGTGTGTGGGGGGGGTGTGTGTGTGGGGGGTGTGTGTGTGGGGGGGTGGGTGTGGGTGTGTGTGTGTGTGGGGGTGTGTGTGTGTGGGGGGGGGTGTGTGTGTGTGTGGGGTGTGTGTGTGGGGGGGGTGTGGGTGTGGGGGGGTGTGTGTGGGGGGGGGGGGGTGTGGGGGTGGGGGGGGGTGTGGGGGGTGTGGGGTGTGTGTGTGTGGGGGGGGTGTGTGTGTGTGGGGGGGGGGGTGTGTGGGGGGTGTGTGGGGGGGGTGTGGGGGGGGTGTGTGTGTGTGGTGTGGGGGGGGTGTGTGGGGGGGGTGGGGGGGGTGTGGTGTGGGTGTGGGGGTGTGTGTGTGTGGGGGGATGTGTGTGTGTGGGGGGTGTGTGTGTGGGGGGTGTGGGGGGGTGTGTGGTGTGTGTGGGGGGGGGGTGTGTGTGTGTGTGTGTAGGGTGTGTGTGGGGGTGTGTGGGGGTGTGTGTGGGGGGGGGTGTGGGGGATGTGTGTGTGTGGGTGTGTGTCGGGGTGTGTGTGTGTATGTGTGGGTGTGTGTGGGGGTGTGTGTGTGGGGGGGGGTGTGGGGTGTGTGTGTGGGTGTGGGGGGTGTGTGTGTGTTGGGGGATGTGTGTGTGTGTGTGTGTGTGGGGGGGTGTGTGTGTGGGGGGGGTGTGTGGTGTGTGTGTGTGGGGGGGGGGGGGTGTGTGGGGGGGTGTGTGGGGGGGGGGGTGTGGGGGGGGTGTGGGGGGGGGTGTGTGTGTGTGTGTGGGGGGGGATGTGTGTGTGTGTGTGGGGGGGGGTGTGTGGGGGGGGGGGTGTGGTGTGTGTGTGTGATGCCCCAGTGATGGCTGTTGGTGGACACTCACCGCTGTCCACTTCGCCGCCCTTCCTGGCGGTGGCGGCGTTGCCCATGGCCGGGGCCGGGGGCGAGGCGGGGGCTCGGTAGGGTTGGGTTGGGGCGGTGCCGGGGGGGCGGTGCCGGGGGGGGGCGAGGCTTGGCTCCCGTTCCCGGCCCGCGAGCTCCCGCCGGTGACTCTCCGCCTCTCACACCAGCGGCGCCTCAGACACTACGGCCGGTCCCGCCCCCTCACCACAAACAGGAAGTCCCGCCTCCCACCCACGGTTGGTCAGCGCCGGCTGATTGACGCTCCTGGTGACGTTCGCTATTGGGTGGCGGCGGTTGATGGACGGGCGGCTCGCGGCTGCGATTGGTCAATCACTGATGGGGGCGAGACCGTGGCGCATAGCTCCCGCCCTCTTTTAGCCGCTTAACGAATAGGGAGCACGGATAGTGCGTCAATCAAAGGGTGGGCGGGAGAGACTGTCGGTGGGGGGGGGGGGGGAGCGTCCGTGGGGGGTGTCTGTGGGGGGTGGGGTGTATGTGGGGGAGTAGTGTCGGGTGTCGGGGGGGGGGGTATATGTGGGGGTGTCGGGGGTGGGGTGTATGTGGGGGGGGTCACGGGGGGGTGTATGTGGGGGTGTCGGGGTGTCTCTGAGTGAGGAACCGCTGCTAACTGAGCCTCAGGCTCCGAGTGAGTGACGTAGCTGACAGGCCTCTCCCCCACCTCGCGGCCCGAGGCCCGTTTCCCGCCCAATCCCGCGGGGCCTTCACACGGCCCGAGGTACCGCCAACTCACCGCTGATTGGGCGCCGGAACCGGTCACCGCTCCTCCCCCTCTCCCTCTCTCCTCAGACTGAGCAACAGCCCCGCGTCACGTCGCCCCGCCTCCTCTCAGCTTATTGGTTAGATGGGGCGAACGCCCCGCCCTCCCTATGATTGACGCACTATTCTTCCTCCTCATTGGTCCAATCACCCTAACGTTCCGCCCTCCTTACGATTGACGCGCTGCTCTTCCTCCTCATTGGTCCACTCGCCCCAACGTCCCGCCCCCACTGATTGACGCGCTCCTCGCTCCCTATTGGCGAGTGGCCCTCATTACAATCACAAATAAGCCACAGACTCAGGGACACAATCCCTGACAGTGAGAGCTTGGGGGGTGGGGGGGAGGGCGATGTGTGGGGGGGTTAGTGGGTGTGGGGCAGGCAGTGTGGTGGGGGGGAGGGGGTGTGGGGTGGGTCCCAGGCCGGGCAAAACCTTACCCCACATACCTGTTTACACGGCAGTAAGTCAGAACCCGGTTGCACTTTCCAGGAGTCATAATCTCCAAAAAGTAGTAATTTGATCACTTGATCCACCACTGTCTGTGGTACTTCCGTACGTGACTGTCCGCCACATTTCATCCACAGAACAGTCAACTCAGTTTACAGTATATTCTGTGAAGTGCTTTAAAACGCCTCAACAACATAAGGCGCTGTATCAAAAACTGCAAGGATTATTATTGGCACAATTCAGTAAATCCATGTGCCACCAACAGCACGTTTCCAGTCTCTTCTTGATTCATGCCATATATCAAGAAAATTTGTTTTAGGGAATGAATTGATGTTACTCTGTTGGAGGTGCTGTCCTTCACGTGAGGTGTTAAAAAAGGTCCATTTCTTTTCTGCCTGTTTATGTAGATGAAAAAATCACACTCTTTGAAAAATTGGTTGTTGACTGCATGGCTGTTTGTTGGACAATGATATGACAAATAGTTATTTCATAATAAAACCTATGAAGCATTTTAGGACACTGTAAGATAGCCCACACCAGCTCTGGCAAGGGCTCAATATTACAGGAGAAATAATGATCACACAACTACATTTACAAGTGCTTTTATTCACAAATCGCAAAAACGATACTAATCTAGGTAAATTTTAACATTTATAAAACTGAGCGGGGAAGTTTTTTTTAAACAAATACTACTCTGAACAGATGAGCTTGGATTTAGACTTTATAAAAGGCAGATAATTTGTAAACATTATCCCACCCTTATTCCTCAAAACTCAACACCATTCGGTTTTAAATTACGATTTACAAAATACCACCGATATAAAGTCACAACACTTTGCATTAATCTTGAAAACTGGACAGCTGCACAGAGTACTGATGTTCAAACAGCTGACACGGTGACAATAAACCTCATTGTTTCCCTGTTTGAACCTGGCAGAGTGGTACAGTGGAATGTTCAGACTGCTGGCTAGTTCTTCAAAGTGAAAAATCCCTCTCCCAGTGCCATGTGGATACTTGTTTCCGCAGGCTTAGTTACCAAGGGACTTGTTGCCCATCTTGCTGCCGTGATTATTCCAAGTGGCCGAATGTTGGAAGTTGCAGAGAGCTGGACCAGTGAGAGGTTGAAAGGCGTTGTCCAGAAACAAACACAAACTGGATTTCCAGCACACCCACCTGCTGGAATTAACCACAACCTAGCGAAAACACACAATCTACAAAACAACATACATCCCAAGTTACACCTCGTACTTGTGGCTAGTTTACAATAGGCACCAACTGGTTTTGTAATCCCAGAATGTTTACTGATAATAAGCATCATTATTGCTCACGTTGGGCAAACAACCCACCTGAACAGACATCAAGTGCATCTGAGAGTCGGGGGCCATCGTGGCTGGTGTGGCCCTTAGTTGCAATGCTGTCACCTTGACCTCCCTTTGCTCTTCTCCGACCCCCCCCCCCCTCACTGATTTAATGCCTCCTGAGAATTATGCAATTCTGAAGATGAAAACTCAAAATTAACCCTGCAGAATTACAACTTGAAAAGTTTAAATTCTGGATATGTTTTTTCCCCCTAGGTCATTCTCCAGAAACGCAAGCCTTTTTAAATCCAGTTTCACATGCAGTCCATTGAATTTTCAGGAACAATGTTCAGGGCGTTTCCTGCCATTCCGTGGCCTTTGAGGGGAGTACAGGTTGGAGGAAGCATGGAATTTGTGCTGGGGTCAACGTTCTCAATATCTTCCGTCTTCTCGCCTGTGCTGTCCCAGTTGATGTGGAACCTGGTAACTCTGGGATTGGAGGCCAGAATGTTCCGCTGAAGCTGAAAGTAGAGAATAATAATGATCATGTTTGCATTTGGAAATTGCCTTTCATATCAGGAGGATGTACCAAAGTATTTCTAGGGCAAATGGAGCAGCCTAATTGTACACAGCAATGTCTCACAAAAAGCCATGGTTTAGAATTCAATGCAGTTTATAATACTTGCATTTGATACAGCATTTGGAAGTCACCACTGGGGGTGAGACACCTTTATCGCCAATTATCGTGACAGAGCATCAGCGGTGCACACATCTAATCCAATCAATATGTAATCTGTGAGATCTTTATACCGACACTGCCATCCATTGAAAATATTGCAATTTGCAACAATGTTCAGCAGATTTCAGTGCATTTGAATACAAATGTTCTATAATCTTACAAATGCTTCACATAATAGCATTATAAATGTAAATTCAAACATAATCTCCAAATGTAAATGCAGGTATGATACATCTGGATTGTATCAGCTGTATGTACACTGATGTGGCATTTCTATTTGGGTAGAAACAAAATGCAACAGACAGAACAAAAGCATTGTGACATACACGTGGTGTCTGTGCCGTTTCAGCTATGACCAAATGCCATAAACATCACCCAAAGTATCAGATATTCATTGAATCATAGAATCGTACAGCACAAAAAGAGGCCATTCGGCCCATCGAGTCTGTGCGGCTCTTTGAATAGAGCAATTAATGTCAGTCCCACTCCCCGGCCCTTTCCCCATAACTCTGCAAACTCGTCCTCCTCAAATACCCATCCACCGCATTTTTAAAAGTAGTTATTGAATCAGCCTCGACTGCCCTTTCAAGCGATGCGTTCCAGATTCGAACAACTCACTGCGTGAAAAAAATTCTTCTCACCTCCCCTCAGCTTCTTTTAGAGACTATTTTGAATCTGTGGCCTCGAGTCACCGATACACCCATCAGTGGAAACAGTTTGTCCCTTTCTAACCCATCAAATCCCCTCATGATTTTGAAGACCTCTATTAGATCTCCTCGTAACCTTCTCTGCTCCAATGACAATAATCCCGGCCTCTCCTCATCATCACGGTCCCTCATTCCTGGTACCATCCTCGTAAATCTCCTCTGCACCCTTTCCAATGCCTTAACATCCTTCCTATAGTGTGGTGCCCAGAACTGGGCAGTATTCTAACTAAAGCCTAACCAGTGTTTTATATAGGTTAATCATAACCTCCTGACTCTTGTACTCTATGCCCCTATTTATAAAGCCGAGTATCCCATATGCCCTTTTTACAGCCTTATCTACCTGTCCTTCCACCTTCAAGGATTCATTTACCTGCACCCCCAGGTCTCTCTGTTCTTTTACCCCCCTTTAGATTGTATTACAAGCCTATATTGCCTCCGCTCATTCTTTCTACCAAAATGCATTACCTCGCATTTCTTCATATTGAAATTCATCTGTCACCTGAAGCATCTGAAAATATTACAAATGCATTTGGTCAATTTGACTACCTTGGCATAATCTGGTTTCATTGGTGGATTCTCCTTTAGCTCGGGATCGGTGTACTCATTATTCACATAATATCCCACCCGGATAAACTCCTGGCCTCTGTACGTGCAGGTGATCAGCACCACAGTCACACCCACTGCATCTGCATCGGGAATCAACACTGCATTCGGGGCATCAGCCTGGAATATCCAAAAACAACCAGTTTAGAGGTCAGGGAACAACAATAATAATCCTTGCATTCAACCTAGCACCCCATTGCGTCTTCAAGACGTCTCAAAGCGCTTCATAAAATATACTGTACAGTGAACGGACTATATTTTGTGGGTGAATCCCTTCAAAAAAATGTTAATCAATGCTAAGTGATCATGATGTTCAGACCAGAAAGACGAAGTCCAACATTGCTATCATAGCACCAAAAGGACCTCACAGGCTTTTCAAAGGCTCAAGACAGCAGGACTTGCCTATTAAGCACTGAGGGGATTAGCTTTATGGACCACAAGGAGGGCAGTAAAAGCACTCAAATTCAAACCCACTGTCTAGAACTTTTCAAATCTCACTTCACACAGATGCTGTTTCCTTCAATGGCATCGTACAATAGCAAAACTCCATGCCAGTGACATTTCACAATTAGATCAAAACAATCTAATCAATAACTCTAATCACTGTTACATTTATTTCAAGAACTGTTTAAATGACTCAACTAAAGTCTGTGCCCACCCGCTTTAATTTGCTAGGAATGTGCCTGACCTGAAACACAAACATATGGCGGCCAGCAGGGACAGGTCCCACCAGCACCGAGTCCAACACCTGGTCATGCTCCTCGCTCTCAGCAGAACCAACATAGATGATTTTCCACTCCAGATCTGAAAAGAAAAATAGTAAAGATTCATTTAAATCCATGTTGTGGCAAAGCTATCAATGGCCAAAGAGCATTCTTAGCACCCATCAAAATGTCTCAATGCACTAAGTAATCATATTCAGAGCTGAAGGGGTTAGCTTTGCAAAACACAACGGTGTAAGCAAGCCAGAATTCTGAGTTGCTTGAGTTGACCAAAGAAAAATTGCAAAGGTTCATGGACCTGTTTCTTCAGAAAAACTGCAGCTGTGGAACATGAGAGCATGTTTACAGAACACAAAGCTTCAACATCATCATTGATAAGACTGTTGTTGGCTACAAAATGGACTTTCTCAGATGTTTAAAACAAACTGCTGGAATCTTGATAAAGGTGAGGAATGTTGACAATTATTGGATATTGGTAACAGGAGAAGATTGACAAAAGATATTTACAAGGAGCTGATGGCCAGTTTTGGAAATGGAGTACCTAACAGTCAATAATAGAGAAAAGAGGGATATACTACAATCAACATGGATTAACAAGGCAATTCCTCATCAAAGCCACTTTATTTGGTCTGATCAATTCACTGCAGTGAACTTTACTAACCTATTGTGAGCATGTCTTTGATTTAATTAAACGTATAGCTTTGATATGCATTATTTAACTAACTTATATTGATAAACATTAACTGATTGAAGATTTGTGTCAGTTGTTACTTCACCGCAGGGTCATGGATTTATTTAACTTTTACAAAGGGGACAGTTAAAAACTCCTCAAGTCTTCTTTCATCCATGCTACTTCTTTAAACAGAACTGCACAAAATAGGAAAACTAAGCACGTCTAAAGTTTTGTGGGCAAAACACAAACAAGATCAACTTGCATTTATATAGTGCTCTTCACACACGACTACAAGATAAATGAATATAATGGAGTGCCTTCAGCTCCCCTCTCGACTCTCTACCCCCTCCTCGCTCCCTCCCTTCCCTCCCCTCACCCTGACCATTTCCCCCCTGCTCGGGTCCTGACCCAACTGTACAGCGCCTTGGGACGTCCTCCCGACATGAAAGGCGCTCAATAAATGGAATCTTGTTGTTGTTGCTGGGTTAGGATAGCATGAGAAACTGACTTGTGTCATGCAATATCCACCTCACATCAACCTCCACCTAAACAGGACCCCAATTTTGATGTTTTATTTGAAAAACAGAACCTTAGTCAACAGGACCTCAGTACTCCCCCTGCACTGATAGTCACGACACTTGCAAGGAAATCCTGTGAAGTGCTCAGAGACATCCTTCCAACACGAAGGGAGCTATATCAAATACAAGGATTGCAAACAGGCAGTTGTGTATGCCTACAAATACTTCGAGACACAAAAGGTGCCATATCAAATGCAAAGATGATTTATATTATGATCGCTCTGAGCGAATACTAGCCCCACTACCTTTGCAATTGATTGAGCACTTCGAAAACATCACATTTGTGAATTTGTGCATAACGTTGCACAAACCGCCAATGAAGTTTACCACCTTTACAATGAGGACTGTCTGCTGGGGAGAAATTCCCTCCTCTTTCCAACAGTTGCAAATGAGGGAAAACAAATGATTGCTGCCAGAGGCCCAAGATGGTAAACTTGGTGTGTAGCTGAATGCAGCAGCCAATCTACACAATATGACATCTCCCACCTCCCTCTCTGCACCAACGCCCCCCACACACACTTAGACATATATATATATATATATATATATATAAACAGTGTACTATGCCCCCAGCTCCCCTCAGCCAACCAGGTCCTCTAACCCCCCAAATAACCACCCACCCCCCACCCACCCCCACCCACGGGGTGATTGACAGACGGACAGAGGGGGCGGTACAAACGCGCCAAAAAAACCCGCTCAACAAGAAGGTGAGCGGTTCCCGCGCGCGGCCCCGAGTCGCCACATGATAATAAATGGCCTCTTTCTCTCTCTCTCTCCTCATAAACTCCCCCCCGGGGCCCCTCCTCCCCCACCGGCGACCCCCCCCCCGGGCTCCCCCCCTCTCTCTCCCCCTCAGTCACTCACCGTCCGGCAGGTCCTCGATGCACTCGAAGGTGATCTCGAACTGGAAGGGATTGTTGAAGGGCGACGGGTTGTCGAGCACCACCACGTTCAGCACCTGCACCTTGGCCATGGCCCCGGCGGGGAAGCCTCCTGGGCCGCGAGGGAGGGAGGGCGGGCGGGAGAGGGGGTAAGGCCGAGGCCCTGGATAAAGAGAGGGAGGCCTGAGGCCTAGCCGCGCTGGCTGTGGAGAGGAGAGGCCTCTTGTGTGTGTGTGTGAGACCTGCTCGGCGGGGCTGAGGGGAGGTTGTCGAGGACGCTCGGTGGTGGTGGTGGCGGCGGCGGCAGGAGAAGGAGGGAGACGGTACAATACAGAAAGAGGCCGCTGTAAAGCTCCGTCCAACAGAGACAGAGAGATAACAGACCACACAGCTGACGGCCTCCCCCGCTGACTGAACGCCGAGCCGCCGCCGCCGGCCTCTTTTATAGGCTTCCCGCCACCCCGGGCTAAGGGTTGGCCGACAGTCGGCACGTGGTGCGAGGGCCGCGACCAATCGGAACGCAGCGCGCGCCAATTGCCCGCCCGTCCACCCGCTCGAGCGCCTGACTGAGGCGGCGCGCGCAACCAACTGTCACACAGAGAAGGGGGAGGGGTCGCGATCTCTCCATCACTCTCGCCATGTTGTACTCGTGCTCTGTCACTCTTTCGCACTTACTCTGTTGTCGCATTCCTTCTCTCTCTCTCTCCATCACACACTGTCACTCTCTCACGCTCTCCCTCTGTCAACGCGTTCTCTCTCTATCACTCTCTGACTCTATCACTTTGTCACTCTCTTACTCTGTCACTCTTTATCTTGGTCTCCCTCCCTCTCTCTCGCCCTTTCACACTATTTCTCACTATGTCACACACTTCTCTGTCGCACTCTGTCCCTCTATATTACGATCTCTCTCTATCTCACGTGATAGAGAGCGAGGCAGAGCTTCCTCGCGCTCCCAAATGATGTCCTCTTTGGCCATCCAGTCAGCTCCTACAAATTTTTCCAGAAAGTCTCCCAACCTCGTCCACACCTTCTGTGCCTATGTGCACTCCTGCAACACATACGCGGCCATTTCTTCCTGTTCGCAGGCTCCTCTCAAGCAGGTTCCCACCAACACCAACTTCCTTTTGCACAGAAAACTTCTGCCAGGGAGGCAGTTATCTATCTCTATCCACACCAAATCCTTCTGTGAGCCCATTGTCCCACGCACGCCCACCCGACTTCTCTTGTATCCCTTCCATCTTTTCCTTATCCTCACTTTCCCAACAACCCCTTCATATCCCAGATTTCGACTCTCCCAACCTTTACGTTGTTTACATTGTTTTTTTCCAGAAACTCAAACAGCCTCTGAATGTCTTTTTTGGCCTTTCCCTCGCGAAATGGATTGTGGGTTCCCTTTCCATATACCCGAAATGCTGCCCCACATTCCCAAAGCACACATTCTTTTCTTTCTTCCCCTGTGTGTGTGTATGTGTTTGTGTGTGTGTATATTAGCGCGAACCCATCGCCATGCTTAAGATTATCCAAACCACACTGTGCTTGGAAATTTCCCTGTGTCTGGAATGGAATGTGCTCTCTCTCCCTCCAATTAGAGGAGGGAATTGTCCGCGTACTTTGTCAGCCTGGCTGGGTAGTGTGTTCACCTCTGGATCAGAAAGGTGCAAATTTGAGCTCAGTCTTGGCTGACACTTCAGTGAAGTCCTGAATGCTGTATTGTCAGATGTGTAATCTTTTGGATGAGACCTTAAACCGAGCTCTGCGTCTGTGCCCTGTTCAGATGGGCATTAAAGGTTCACCCAGACCCAAAGCCTCCGGGGTTCACAGCTGCAGAAATGCCCACAATGACAGCAGGGAGTCCGTAACCAAAGGCGTAGAGACCCATCTCTCTAGCTGTGAGGCTCCGCGAAACCTTCACTCTGCTCAGGTTTCTAACCAGGAGGAAGAGCTGCAGCCCATCCAGCAACATCCAAGTGAAAGCCACTAGGAACAGGTAATGTAAGGCTCAGGCAATGATCCCACATCTGGTCTGAAAGAGAACTTTGCAAGTCATACATCTGTCATGTTTGTGTCGGTCAAACGCACTTCCACCCATTCCTAATTCCATGTTTCTCAACACACATTCCTGAACACACACAAAGACACATTATGCCAACAAATATACAACAACAACGAATTACAATTGTATAACACCTTTCACATCAGGACAGTCAGGTGTATAGTCAATTAACTCTACAGGATATTCTGTGAAGTGCTTTGAGACGTTTCAAAGTTGTGATATGGCACTATAACAAATGCAAGGATTACTATTATTATTATTATTGTTAAGTATCTGAGACACGACCTCCTGTGAAGGGAAAGATTTAAACGCATTAAATTATTTAAAAGTTTTAGGCACACACACACACCACTACACACACAATCACACAGACCCACACACATGCCTTGTTGCTAGTCCGGGATATTCCTGTTAGGAACAGCAGCTCTGTCAGGAACGGCTCACAGACAGGTTCACGTGGATTGTGCGGGTTTCCCTCTGAGTCATTCGGCAGAACAGGTGAGGACGGAGATTGCGAGACACGTGAGCGAAGCAGAGCTTCGAGGCGCTTCTCCCTCTCCCGCGCGGTCCTGGTCCCCCCGCGCATGCGCACCGCCCGCAGCCTCGCGCCGCTGGAGCTGTCCGTTGCCCCGCGCGCTTTCCCGCTCATTTGGAGCTCCGCCGCCTTCACTCCCTCAGGCGGTGAGAGTCACTGTGACCGACCGACCGCCCGCCCTCACCTCACGCGCTGTGTCGCGGCCGCAACGGCTGTTAGGAAGGCTATTCGGTGAGTATAAATATTCTATCACAAAGTGTCTGATCAATTTTATTTGGGGGATTGTCGGCGAGGACACCCGGAGAGAGAGAGAGAGAGAGAGAGACTCCCTTGTGTTTTCCAACAGGGCCTCCGGAGCTTCAACATCCACCTGAACAGCCGCGGACCGGGAGTGAGGTTTAACATCTCATCCGAAGGGCAGTTCGCCCCCCGACCCCCAGCGCCGCTCGGGAGCGTCAGCCCCGTCTAAATGGATTCCAAATGCCGCCGTGAGAACTGAACCCACAAGGTTTAGACTCAGAGGTGAGAGCGATGGTGAGTGAAGCAGAATGTGGTTGTCAATGTTCTGGGCTGAGACAACAACAACAAGTGACATTTCTATAGCACCTTTCCCGACAGTGTCCCAAGGCGCTGACGTACGAACGCGCCTCACCTCCACGTGTCATGAGAATGGCGAAGCTCCCCGGCCGAGTGCAGCCACACGAGCTGTGTTTGTTAGTGGAGTTTATCACTCGGCAGCCCATCGTAGACCAGCCGTGTCCCTTGGACATGACACACCATGGCTTTCTGTTCCGATCCCTTTCCTTTCTCAAAGAAAAAAAATAAAATTAATAATAGTGCTTGGATTTGATACAGTGCCTTCCAAGTCGGAAGGATGTCCCAAAGCATTTCACAAGATAAACTGTAAAGTGCATTGACTGTGTTTTGTAGGCGAACGTGACAGCCAATTTGCGGCATCCAACAAACAGCCAGGCAGTGAGTAACTGATTTGACTGTAGGATTGTTGGCCGGCACACAGGGAGAAACTCCTATTTATTTTCAAATAGCTCCGGGACAGATACAGACAGGGAAGTCATCTCATCTAAAAAACGGCACCTCTAAACAAGGCAGCGCTGCCACTGTTAAGCGCTCCAAGATGTTACCCTGCATGAAGGGCACTGTGTAAATGCAAGTTGCCGTAAACTGACCTCTTTGAGCTCCAAAGTAAAGTTGAGGGGTTCTGTGAGCTCAGTTACGTTCTTATTGCTTACGATTGTTACTACTCTTGAGTTTAGCTGATATTTTGCTGATATTTCATTCTCTCCGTCATCAAAAGACCCATCCAGAATGCTTTCCATGTTGCTGTAGGGAATGAATCCAACAGCAGGGTTGTCTATCATAAAGAGATATACATTGAAAGAAGTGCCATTAGCAACATCTAGTCTTTGGGAGCAGGGATTCTTCTCACTCGTTTTTTGTTAACTGCTAGCGAAAGCCCTAAAATCTGCTGGGTTGTTGGGGGAGCCAGTGGAGCCAAGCGAAGATGGGGGTGATGGGGGACATGGGCTGGATTTCTAGAGTTCCGGATTTCTAGATTTCTAGAGTTCTGGATGGTGTGCAGCTTGTGTAGGGAAGAGCTGGGAAGTCTGGCAAACAGTGAGTTGGTGTAGTCAAGCCACAGATACATTACCAGATTGGTTCCCTGCAGTTAGAGTCCTCCAAAAATGCTCATTGCAATGTCTTTCACGTTCAATGTTAGCAACTCATTCAGAGAGACATTCTTTGGAGCAACCCGCAGTTCAATATCTGGCAAAGTGAACAGAAAATGGGGGTCAATTGGCTTTCCCCTAATAAACTCTGTAATCCCCTCCCAAACACCAAGTGTGTCAGCCTGGCTCAGTGGTAGCACTCTCGCCTCTGAGTCATTAGGTTCTGCGTTCAAGCTCCCATATTAGGGATTTGGAATCACAAGTTGTAAATGACATTGGCTGCCGCGTTAACCCACAAAATACACAGTCACTACACTTTACAGTATATCCCGTGAAGTGCTTTGGGACGGCCTTCCATTGTGACGATAAGAATTATAAAGATTATTGAAAAAACAACATACAGTGCCTTTGGAAGGGGTAATGTCTCAGAGCGTATTGTATATATTGTAGAGCGTAGTGATTGTGTGTATTTACCTATATTTGGGATATTTTTGACACTCTTCCATTGGATGCATTGAAAATTGACATCACAAAGCTTGCCACTGCGTCCAGGAAAGCTGAGGCTTTAGTCTGTCTGCTCTGGGATCTAATGGCTCCCAATGCTCCCTGCTGCTCACAATCTGGTCTGCCGACTTCACATTACCCTGTGGATGAGAAGAGAGTGAGTGACTGTCTGGAATGACATAGCATTAGACTGCAGCTTGAAGTGATGAAATAATTATAATAATCCTTGTGCCTTTCACGTCAGGAGGCTGGCTCACAGTGCTTCACAGAGTTTACTGTAAAATGCGGTGACTGTGTTTTGTGGGCGAAAGCGCCAGTCAATTTGAGCTCAGCAATATCCCCGCAAATAGCCGTGAAGTGAATGGCTGATATTATTTGGGGGCATTGTTGGCCAGGACTCCAGTGGGAGAAACTCCCTTTTCTTTTCATGTAGTGATGCGGGATTCTTAACGTCCCCCCTGAACAGGCACACGCTTGTTTTAACGTCTCATCCGAAGGAAGGCACCTACAGCAACTCAGCACTGTATTGGAGTGTGAGTTCCAATTCCGATGTGGAGTATAATTAATATAACTAGTATAACTATTATAACAAATATAACTGGAGTACACTTCGTATAATTGCAGTGTACCT